ACGTTCCCGTCATCCCTTTCATCGGCCGACTTCAAGATAGAGCTCCGCTGCTTTAAAGAGTCCACCAGCGAAGTAAAGATCTGGGTATCGTAAAACAGTCTATTTGAATCTTGGGGCAAGGGGGACATCTCCGTAGTTGTGACCTTCCCTACCTGCTATTGGGGAAAGGGCGAATCTTCCTTGAGCTAACTAAAACTATTATTTACAAGTTATGTCATGGTGGCCCATCGCTGTCTGATAAGGCGCTTTAATACCCCGGGGAGGGGGTCCTTAAACCATTCTTGAACTCATAATAGACTCATAATAGAAAGCTTGGGTTTAGCGCTTTAAAAATACCTATCAATAAAGAACCCGAGAAAGCATAGTTAGACAAGATATTTCTATCCCTTTATTTAGCTATTAAAAAGGCTCCTGCTACAACTATTCTTTCTGCTCCACTGAATTATTAGCCATCGCTTCCTTAGCTCTCCTCGCCCATCTTTGGCTGCCTATGAGGTGCCATGTCTGCTTTTGATACAGGTGTGTTTTGTTCTTCACCATCAGTCCTCCTCTTCTTGGATTTTTGATCCCGACGCTTTGCCAGACGATAAATTGGTGACAAACGCACCCGAGGTCATGAACCCATTTATTTGGAAACTTAGAAGACCCCTCTCAAGGTAGTAAAGTAACCAAATTGAAGAGGAATAAGAGATTCGATTTGAAAAGGCTATAAAGGCCAAAGCCGGATGGATTGCTTGACACGACACCGATTCCCAGATCAGGCCATATCTGATACCGGCTGGACATATTCATTAGTGAAGGACCAGGCCCATGCCAGCACATGGCACTGATAGAAATCTATATGTTGAAGAAGGATTTTCCCGAAGGAAAAATTAAGAACCATCGCACACAGGAAGCTCAAGCCGAAAGCGATCACCTGCTAGCTCTCAAGATATGGGATAAATTCGTCGTTTTAACGCATGTTTCCGACCCCCTCGTGTTCACTACTACAGAATTATACTGGACTAAAAAAGACAGGAGTTTAGCTTAGGAATAAAACTTATATTTAGACTCCATCGTCAAATGTCCTTCAAAGTCAGAGTCAGAACTATTGAATTGAACCTCTTCCACGCGGGAAAGCAGCAGTCCTTCCTTACCTTTCATGGGATGAGACTGCCCCACTCTCTTTCTTGCTGTATGGCTTTGTTGGTTGCTTTTTTTCTAGCTGGAAAAGCCCTCCCTTTCTTAAGTTTTATGTGTGTGTGCACGAGCCAATTCAAGCTATAGCCCGCTCTCGCTTCTGTACTCTTTCCCCATCTCTCTCGAGATCCTTCTTTCATCCTTGACATCTTCCCAACGAAATTGATTGGTGCCCTGTATGACATAGACTTAACGCTGACTACATCCAGGGAAGTCCGTCGGGTGGGCCACAACCCGCGGCAATCATGCTTGGACTAACAAGAGAAATCTCTCTCTTCCGCGCTTTTCACTCCTTAACCTTCGCTTAAGCGACTACGTTCCTTAACTCGACGATTCCCCACTACCCTCGTGCTCGCTTATAGAAACCTATATATATTTCCTACCTGGAGAAATCTTTCCTAGGCTGCTTTCCACCGTTCAAACTATCCGCTATTCGGGCTTCCCTTGAGACTGCTCACAACCTTTTCTTGACTCTGTATTTTCATACAGCTTCAAAACCTACTTCCTACCAGGAGAAGATGTTATTGATTCTCTTTGAAGTGGGAGACCCTATTCACAGGGATTGCACACCCCTCACCTAATTGAGATAGAATCTGAATACCCTTACATTTTGTAGAGATATAAGGCACCATTCTAGGATTCAATTTTTCGAGTACCGTGACCGAAATGAACTCTCGCTTCCAGTTGAGTGATGTATCTCCCTTTGATATAGTACTCATGAATCCACCTGACCCAGACCTTGTCTTTTTTGTTTGCTAAATTCCAAAGCAACTTACAAACAGATGCTTTGTTCCAGCAAGAAAACGGATGCGCGAAAGTCACGCCTTTCACTAAATATGCGTTTTTTCTTGCTCTCTCGAAAAGAGCTCGGACACTAAAGAACGAAGCGAGTAAGGAAGAGTAATAAAATATGCCTTTTGGACCTCACTAAAAATAGGGCTACTACTAATCCTTTTTATTAGGAAGGAATCAAAAAAGGTAAACCCGCCGCTGGACCTTGCTTTGCTCTCGCTCCGCTCGTTCCCACTTACTTTCGTCCCGCTAGAGTGAAAGAGGTTTTTTCACTTCCTTCACTCTAGCAGAACCCTCACAAACCTTCTTTTATTGGCTTGTTACTCGTATCCTAAAGGGGCATTTTAATTTTAGGGAATGGGAGGGTAGCCACGCTTTTCCAACTCCCCCAAAATATGTTTTATTAACTCATGGTTTTCTCCTAACCCCGTAGAAAGATATGTAGTGAAATAGGTGTCTAAAATTCTTAGATTCACCCCCGTCCTTGGGATCCTATCCCCTACTATGGAATAAATAGTTCGTATGGAAA